ATCTTTAAAAAAAAAAAATCATGCTTGCAGGGGCGCCTGGGTGTCTCAGTTGGTTGAGCCTCTGACTCTTGGTTTTGGCTCAGGTCAGGATCTCATGGGTTGAGGGATCCCACGAGTAGGGCTCTGAAGTGGGAAGTCTGCTTGGAGACTCTCTCCCTCTGCCCGTCCCCCCATACATGTGCATGCGCTTTCTTGCGCGCACTCTCTAAAATAAATAAATTAATTTAAAAAAAATTTTTTTTAAAAATCGTGCTTACAGTCAAAACAAATGTTAAATTCAAAATGCGTGTAACAGGCAGTTGTCTTAGATTTCATCAGACAATGCACACATTGATCCAAAAATGTTACAACAAATGGAATTTATAAGGACAGTCAGCAGAAAAAGCTGTTGTTTTCACTCCTGTCAGATTTCAGTGTGTTTCTACTGCCACATCAAGATTCGGAGCACTGAGGAGGAGACTGCTGGTTACCTACGAAGATGTGTTAGTTGTGCCCACAGATACTGCTCCCCTTTAAGGCTTGTTTATTGAACTAGTGGGCTAATAGGCCACTGTTTTATTAAGTGGACATACTCATCACCCCCCAAGTCTCCTCGTGCCCATGGTAATCTCTTTCTCCTGGGATCCTAACAGGACCTATGTCGTAGGATTATGGTGAGGATTCATTGTGTAATGATATACATAAGAGCTCAGAATAATGATCAGCACCTACTAAGCGCTGCATGAGTAGTGGTTACTGTCTTGTTGGAACCACAAAGCTCTGTGAAACTCATATCTCTATAGCTCAGCATCCCTTACTCACACTCCCAGCTCAGGCATAAGCCCTAGAAATGTAAACCAACAGAGAAGTTGGTTTACTCCACCCTAGAGTCACCTGGCCTTGGCTTATTCTTCCAACTAAATATTGAGGGCAGTCTGATCCAGGTTTAAATCCTAGTCTTATCGCTTTGTTTTCAGAGCCCAACTCATCTGTTATAGGAGGACACTACCTGCCCTAGAACGCTGTTTTGAGCATCTGAGTCAAGGTGTGCAAAGATTATAGTGCAATGCTTGGTACGTCACAGGCACTTCATGAATGGCAAATATAGCATTATTATCATTATGATTTCTAAAGCTAAAGATGGCACCGTTTAACAGTATTTCTTTTTTTTCCAATTTCCTGTCCTTGATCTTGCCATGGAGAGACAATGAGAGAAGGCTCTGAGAACGTTTCTATTTTTCCCTAGAAGAAACAGCCAGTGAGAACTCCTCTTTGAAACAGGTAAAGCTCTGTAGTAATGAGAAGTATGTGTGGTGACTTTCGTTTTCCTGTCTGAGTCCTGGCAGATTCAGAAGAACCTTAAGGAGTGCCCTTGGGGAATGAACAGCTCGCTAACTGTGACAGCACCATTTCACTGTAGTGGGGGAATCAAGACAAATACCCAGGTACAGGCCGTACTGTGTGTATTATTAGACATTCCCCAAACCAAAACTACCACTCCACGCTAAACCCAAAATAACCTGAAATCTAGCAAAATAAATTGTACCAGTTGAAGTGCCCTTGGGAAGTTACTTTCTATATAATTGTCAGCTTACCTTGTGTGGGCTTCATTTGACTTATTTGATTTATGAATGGTCAATGTTATTGACCATCTGACTACCCATAAACCCTTCTACTTAATAAAACAGTGGCCTATTAGCCCACTAGTTCAATAAATAAGCATTGAAGGGGAGCAATATCTGTGGGCACGCTAACACGAGGCAGCCAGACTCCCCTGGCCCCATGAGCATCTCCCAAAAAGGATTAAGATTTCACTTTGGATCTATAGATGCTTCATTTGACTTTGCATAAAGAAATGACTACGTGATTGAATTCTTAGTTCCTCTAAATAGCAGTGAACATTTGAAAGCTTCAAGAACACTGCTGAAAATGTTACCAAGTATAAATACCCATATGTAAGAGAGCATATTCATCTTATGGGCTACTCAACGTCCCAGCAGCATGTCAAATATTATAATAGAAGTGATTCTCTCATGTGGTGCTAGATGTGCTGCTCCTGTAAATAAAGCATGGCAAGTACAGAACACATTGGGAAGAAAGCCTTTTGCAATACAATAATATTCAGTCCATGCCAAGGAGATTAGGGGTTCCTTAAGTGGTAATCTCAGCATGAGGTCAAGGTCTGTGTGTGTTTACTCCCTCTAAAAATTTACTGGGATTTCACATCGCCAAAAAGATGTAACTCTGGACCATCATCATAATGAAAGTCCCCCCTGCTTTGGTAGGTTTCAACACTCCCATCCCTTCCACTATAATCAAACTGAAACCAAGGAGTTCTCATTTTAAGCATATACAACAAAGATCAGAGTTTAATAACTTGTCTCTTGCTATCTCTGAACAGATTGTGAGTTTGGCTTGCAATATAAGAGCACATTAAAAATTCTAAGACTCTGACATTCCTCACTGGAAGTGATGCCTGAGACTTGTTTCTAAAACTCACAACAGCATGCAAACGGAAACTTGGTTCTGCTTTCCCAGCATGGGGTCCTGCAGAAAGCCATTAGCAAATGGCAGGGTGAGAGCGGCCAGTCACACTGCACTTACTACCCATGGTGGCAAATCCTTATTCTGTTCTTTCTTTCATTCAGATGTCTCCCGCAAGCCCCTGAGTCTGTACGGGTATCTAGGAGGGCTGGAAAGAGGCTGGGAAGGGGTCAGATCTTGATGAACATATCCTGGAGTGGGCTAGGACTGCTCCAATTAGCTGGGCTCCACGCTAGGGTGGAATTAACATAATTAACATTTAAGTATCACAGAGAAAACCTGGTAACCTGGAAGCCATTGAGATATACAGGAGACTGGGAACTTCTGAGTATTTCGTTCGTTTTGCTGAATATTTACAGATTTTATTATCTATGACATTGTTTATGAATTGATCCAATGTTCTTGGGGCAATGATATTCACTGTTTTGTATGAATTACCATTTAAACAAATAATTCATACTGTAACTTGGTTTTTGAGGGTTTTTTATTTTAAAGATTTTATTTATTTATTTTTGAGAGAGAGAGAGAGCAAGACAGAGCATGAGCGGGGGGAGGGGCAGAGGGAGAAGCAGACTCTCCGCTGAGCAGGGAGCCCCATGTGGGACTCAATCCCAGGACCCTGGGATCATGACCTGAGCCGAAGGCAGATGCTTAACCGACTGAGCCACCCAGGTGCCCCTGGCCATTGGGTTTTAAAAGACTACCTGTAGTCTTAACCAATGCCCCCACTTAGGTTTGCCCTTGTAAAAGTGATAAACATGCGTGTTTATAGACTCATGATCTCTCTCTTTCTTTCCCTCTCTCTCACACACACACACATTCATAGACATTCTGGCACATGTAACTAGTACAGAATTGAAGAAGACAGAAAAACTAGACTTGGTTTGTATTAGG